AAAAAAAAAAAAATCTAGCAAAAAAATGTAACAAGACTTAAAGTATATAACTTCACTGAAAAACATTAAAAATGGGTTAAATGAAGAGACATATGATACTGGAAGACTTAACTTTATAAAGTTATTTACTTTCCTCCAACAAACATCCCAGTATGTATGTGTATAACTTGAAAAGCTTATTCTAAAATATGAAAGGAACAGCAAAGAGCCAAAAAAAAAAAAAAGTCTCACTCTTGAAAAAGAAGAGCAAAATAAGAAACATCAACAAGATCTCAAGAAACATTTATAGAATTAGAGTAATTAAGAGAGTATTGCATGGGTGCAGGAACAGGTAAGAGACAGATGGAACAAATTAGAGAACCTATAAACAGACCATGCAAATATTGATATCTGATATGACTACAAACCAATAGGGAAACATGGGACTATTTAGTAGGGACAGAGAAACTGGGTTCCCATATTAAAAAATGAAATAGGTCCTAAATTGTAAAACAGAAAAATCAGTTCTGGATGATTTAAGAACTTAAATGTAAAAGCTAAAATTTTGAAATAGGAGTAGAGGGTAATGTATTTATTATCTCTGAGAGGGATTTCTTAATCGAGATCTCAAAAGTACAAATCATTTAATAAAAGCTTGATAAATTTGTCTACATTAAAATTCAGAGTCTTTTTCAAGTAGCCAAATAAAAGACAAACCACAAACTGGGGAAAGATATTTGCAATATGAATAATCGATAAAAGATTACTATCCAGGGGCGCCTAGGTGGCTCAGTTGGTTAAGTGTCTGACTTTGGCTCAGGTCATGATATCAGGGTCCTGGAATTGCTCCTACTGAGCCTGGAGTCTGTTTCTCCCTCTCCCTCTCCCTCTGCCCTCCCCCCACCCCCCCACTCATGCTCTTGCTCGCTAATAAATAAAATCTTTTTTTTTTTAAAGATTTTTATTTATTTGTCAGAGAGAGCACAAGCAGGGGGAGCAGCAGAGGGAGAGGGAGAAGCAGGCTCCTCACTGAGCAAGGAGCATCATGACCTGAGCCAAAGGCAGACGCTTAACGACTGAGCCACCCACGTGTCCCTAAAATCTTTTTTTTTTTTTTAAAAAGATTACTGGGCGCCTGGGTGGCTCAGATGGTTAAGCGTCTGCCTTGGCTCAGGTCATGATCCCAGGGTCCTGGGATCGGGTCCCGCATCGGGCTCCCTGCTCCTTGGGAGCCTGCTTCTCCCTCTGCCTCTCTCTCTCTCTCTCTCTCTCTCTGTGTCTCATGAATAAATAAATAAAATCTTTTAAAAAAATAAAAAAGATTACTAGCCAGGATATATATAGAACTAAAAATAAATTATAGGGGCGCCTGGGTGACTTAGTCGGTTAAGCATCTGTCTTCAGGTCATGATCCCAGGGTCCTGGGATCGAGCCCCGTATCCAGCTCCCTGTTCAGCAGGGAATCTGCTTCTCCTTCTCCCTCTCCCTGCTGTTCTCCTGGCTTGTGCTCTCTCTCTTTCTGTCAAGTAAATAAAATCTTAAAAAGAAATAAATTATAAAAAGTCAAGCGACTCCATGGATTCCATGAGCAAAAGCTACAAATGTCATACAATGAACCAAGAAATACATGACAATATGCTCAGCTTCATTATTAATCAGCAAATACAAAAGTCATGATAATGTGATACCTTTACACTCATCAGAGTGGCCAACCCCCCAAAAACCCCAGCAATTCTAAGAACACCCCAATATCACACGTTATGAAGTGAGGCAATGGGGACTCACCCACTGGTAGTGGGATGGTAACCTGCTAGAACTTCTTAGTAGGGCAATTTAGTATTGTCCATAAAGTGGGAGGAGCAGTTCCTACTTATTTCCTACTTCCTAGCAGTTCCGTTTCTAACATTACCCTGGAGAAACTCTTGCGCAGGTGCACAGAGAGAAATGCCTGAGAACCTTTACAGCTGTTCCAATTGCTACCAAGGAGGGGGGCAGGTGGGGGCAGGGGAGAAGCAACACAAATGTTCATTTCCAGGAAAATGGATAGATTGTAGTAGATCCGTTTAACAAAGTACTGTATCTCAGCTGTAATATGTAATGAACGACAACTACATTCTTGAACACAGATGAATCTCACGGACATAATGTGTGAAAAAACAAGGTCATAGAATACCTGCAATACGATTCCATTTATATAGATCCAGAGGCATGCGACACTAAAGCAATTGGTCAAATAAGCCTTCACTGTTACTGTATAATTTGTACTTTGTAATATCTGGTTGTTGCATGGTTCGTTAAGCTTCAGGCTAACAAAATTAAGCATTAACTATGGTGCCAGGGGAAAAAAAATCTGTGAAGTCAAAACCTTTAAAATCCATCTACAAAATTTTAGTAAATCTCCGTGTAGGAAATTAGAAAGATCATCTTAGGCGATCTTTAAAATGCCATCGGTAAATCAGACTTCATCCTGAATCCCGCCCTTCCGCAGGCCATCCGAGCATGAAATGCGGTCCCCTATGTGCATTAACTTGCCGTGACACCTGTCCGAGCGCCAGTCGCCCGCTGCATGCCTGGCCCACCAAAGCGTTCTGTCTGGACGGTGTCACTGGAGAAGGCAGAGAGACATGTCCAGGGCACAGATCTCAGCTCTGGTGTTTGGCGTTGGAGGGTTTGGAGCTCTCGTCGCGGCCACCACCTCCAATGAGTGGAAAGTGACCACTCGAGCATCGTCAGTGATAACGGCCACTTGGGTTTACCAGGGTCTGTGGATGAACTGCGCAGGTAACGCGTTGGGTTCTTTCCATTGCCGACCGCATTTTACTATCTTCAAAGTAGAAGGTAAATATAATGGCTTTGTTTGGGGTGGAAGTAAAATGTCAACTTTTCCCCTCACTGTGCCGAAGCAGCTGCATACAGTGGGCTGTTAACTCTGTAAAGACTGTTTCATTAAAGTGCCAGGAATGGCTTAGGAGGGATGACGTGTCAGAACGTGGGCTAAAGAATGAAATCATGTATTCCATATGGCAGAGGAAAGTTAATAATTTCATGGATCTTTTACAAATACCTAATGCAAATGATAGACTCCAAGGGACAGGGCAGAAGTGACTGTTTTATTTATTTTTATTTTTATTTATTTATTTTTTCTTAAAGATTTTATTAATTT